CACACACACACACACACGCATGCTACAGCTTCCAGCCATCTACTTAGGACCTTTTGACCATGGCAGGGACACCTGCTTGACCATTGACTTTCCATACAGAAGCAAAACCCTTAACTTCCCCAGGTCACTATTTTACTCACTAGAAAATATATAGTGATGCCACCCAACTCAAAACTCTCTCTTTAAAAAGCATTGCACACATGTATCCCACTGGTGCTAAAATGTTGGTTTTACTTGTATTTCTTTTTCCTCCTTACTTGCTTGTGTGTTGTTTATAAGTTGCTGTAGTGTCTCTTTTTCAGCTCTCAAAGTGCATTTGTACATCCCTCCAGCTGCAGCAACCTTTTCTGAAGGTCACGTCTGGATCCCTTAGACTGTTACCCCCTAGAGTGGACTCGAATTCTAAAACTTTGACAAGTTTCCCCATTACTCTAATGTTGCCTGAAGTTTGAGAGCCACTAACCTGGAGGATAGGCTCGGGGACCACATCTCCGACTGAGAGCCCTCTGCAGAGGGCCAAGTACAGAGATGTGTGTATGGCCACCCTCCCTCAGTGCCTGCGATGGCTGACTCTGCACGCTAGGCCCTCAGAGGGGGCTGGAGGAGGGTGATTATTGAAGGCGTTCTGCCTCCTGGGATGAAAGTCTATATAACTATTCTGACAGTCAACAATTAATATAATTAGCTGTCACTTAAAAGGGCAACTTGAAAAGTGTTAGGAACTCCAGATTTGGGGGTAGTCCTCAGTTCCTAGCCTGGGCTTGAAGCTACAAAGTTGTTACAGGAGGCCCAAGATCCAGACACCCCACACCCTGCCTGTGGACTGACTATTATAAAATGTGACTCTAGTTTCTAACTGTATCTGGATGTTGCAGTATTAATAAAATATAGGTTCATTTTAAATGCCACTAAACGTGTAGCTGCCTTTATGTGCTTTCTCATTCAAAATGTGTAAAAAAAAAAAAATCAAACTAGTGCTACTGGGTGAAGTTTTTAATGTTAAAGATTAGAAAACTTATAGTCAAAAAAATTGGGACTCTCACATCCAGTCCTTTCTTTGCCTGGGTCAGAAAGGAAAGGGCTGGGCAAGATCATGGGGGTGCAACTAGGTCATCCTGCTGCTCCCCTATGAATAGATTAGAAAGTTCGTATTTTAAAAAAGCAACACCAGGTTGGTTTCCCTCACCCAGTGCCAAGGGCTGTGTGGTTAAGCAGGAAGGAATCAGTGTCTTTCCTGCAAAATGAACTGTAACCTCGGAAAGCCTAAGTGCAAATAGACAGCAGGGATCAGCTTACAGGAGGCATTTGGCACCCAAGTCCCTTTGCCTACCCTTTCCCTGGAAGCAGGCAGGCTCACCCCCTACAAGGCTCCGCAACCTGAGTTCTCCTGGGTCTGCAAACAGACACCAACTCTATCCTGGTCACAAGAGCTCTGTTTGAGTAATAGGCACAGCATCTAGGGCTCACCAAAAAACTTTTAGGGCTCACAAAAAAAAAAAAAGGTGTCTCGTTTCTTTAGCAATCTGAGAAAAAATCTGAACATTCAGGTGTCAAGGAAAATGTTTTATTGTATATATTAATGTATTTGCCTTTTTGCCAACACAGTGTAAAACACAATTTTAAATATTTTTTAGGGAGGAAGGTCCCCCCTGAAATGTCCTGGGCAGAGTGAGCCGGGAGGCTGGGCTGTGGGTAGGAGGCACTTTGAAACCAGCACTCCAGCAACTGCTTTGAAAGGGTGTCCAGACTGCAGGAGGCACCCTCTCTGCGGGCCTGGGGCTTTAGCCAGCCGAAGCCGCGGCCTCGCTCCATGGTTCGCATCCGGAAAGAGCCCAGAGCTCCAGCGGAAAAAGAAAAACGAAAAGGAAAACGGCTCCAATCGTTCTAGGCCTGGAGTGGTTGGGGAGGGCAGAGACAACCTCGGGTGACCACACTGTCCCTCCTCACAGGGCTTGGCATCCGCTGCACACACAAAGTACTTTGAAAGGTTTCCACCCATTAAAACGAAAAAAAACAAACAAAAAAAAAACCCACGACGAAGGGGCTAAAGAAGTTAGGAGTAGGGAGGAGTTGAAAAGTGCTCAGCTCCAGACAGAAGAGAGACAAGAAACCCCGATGAGAAATCCGGCTTTTTCGACGTGCCCTAATATCCTCTCTCTGGGCACCCCTGTCCCCATTCCAGACACTGCATCTTCACTCGGGGAGCAACACCTCCCGGGATCCAGGACAGACCCTCACTGGCCCCTAACCATCAGGAACAAATAATCTAAAATCCTGCGATTGAGAGGGAAGGTCTGGAATGGAGTTTATTTGCGCAGACTTTTATTATTTACCTATCTATCTATCTATCTATCTATCTATCTATTATTTTTGCTTTTGCTTTAATAATCAAAACAGGGATGGGTTCCCGCAAGGTCTTGCTTCACAATATTCGTTAATAGGTAAGTTACAATCTCCCTCCGTGCTGGTGCCAGCGGTAACGCTTGGGGAATGATGAGTTTCCCACTCCGGTATTACTAGCAAACGCCAGGCGTTCCACCTCGTCTCGGCGTTTCCGTCCCGGCCTATCTGAGCGCGCGGGTCCGCCTGCGCTGGCGACCCGGGGCCTGAATGCTGCCAGGCCTTGTCTGTCCTCTAGGGACCCCGATTCCGCTCCCGTCCTCGAGAGTGGACCTGCCGGGCCAACCCCAGCGGGCCGCGCGGTTTCACTTTGAGTCTTGCCAAGGTGTCCCTGCTCTGAATCCTGGCCCCCGCGAGCTCACCCACGCGTGCACAGACGCCAGCCTCGCGCGCACAGGGGCGCTCGCATTTCCCGCGCGTCCCCACACGCCAGGTCCTGTTTCGCTCGGCGCGCACGTTCCCCAGGCGGCTTCTGCCCGCGCCCCTCGCCCGCCCGCTACTCACCCAGCATCTTGCTGAGCTCGGCGTTGTGCAGGTCCGGGTTCTGCACCGCCAGACGTTTCCTCTCATCCTTGGCCCACACCATGAAGGCGTTCATGGGCCGCCGGATACGGCTCTCCGAGCCCTTGTCCCCCGGCGGGCGAGTGGAGGACGGCGGCGACAGCCCATCCGACAGTTCGGTTTCCAGGGCCGGGCACTCGAGCCCCTCGGGCCACGAGTAAGTTCCCAGCAGCGAGGCCATGGCTGCGCGGGGGTCGCCTCGCTTCGCCTCGCGGGGCCGGTGCTGACCTGGCCCTCGCACGGGTCGGGGCGTTCAACCTGGCCCGCAGCCGCGGCCCGGCCCCTTATTTATCAGCTTCGGATGGTCGCGTCTTCCAATAGCACTCGAAGGCGGCGCGGCCCCTCCCTCTGTCTCCGCGCGGCCCCCTCCCTGCGTCCAACCTGCCGGCAGGGGAAGTGGGAAGGAGGCCAGCTTCCCCGCGCCCGCCCCCAGCCCGCCCCT